TGCAATTTTAAAAATAAAAAATAAATTTTAAAAAATTAGATTTTAGAATCTATTCGACTAACCAACGAAAAAAAGTAAAAAATGAAAATATAAAATTTAAAAAATGGTTCACTAAAGACAAATAGTGAACTTCTTTTGAATTTTTTTTAGTAACTTTTTAGATTCTTCTACGCTAAATGGACCGAAAAAGTAAAAAAAAAAAAAAATTGACCTGACTTTGAAAAAAAAAAAAAAAAAAAAAACATTAAAACAAAAAAATTGGGAAAAAAAAAAAAAAAAAAAAGATTGCTTACCAAACAAAACCTTAGGCCTCATTTATTTGCTGGATTGAGTTGTATGGAATTATTAGTACAATGGGATTAAGTGAAAGGATTATTAGTGTGTTGATATTAGGTTAAAAATGTAAGATAAATTGTATTTGTTTGTGCTGTAGTGTAGTAGTATAAATTGATTGAAATTAAATATACAAAATTACATAAAAGTCGTCATTATGCAAAATGTGACCATTTTTTTGTTATAAAAGAAGCAACAAAATCGTTTCACCTCTAATCCCATGGGATTGGATTAGCAAACCCAGGTCCCCCATAGGTTTGAGGATTGCTAGTCCCCTCATTAACGGAGTTTCATAGTCTCATGGGACAATTAATTCTATAGCAATATTACAAAGGCATGACGTTTGTGGTCCCCATCTCACTCATAGTTCCCTTTATCTCTAAAAATAAACATGGCTTTGTTGTGTTGCACCATTAACGTATAGCATAGGCCGCATATTATACAATTCTACTAAATGTGCATGATTTGAACTGAAAGCTAACTCTCTCACATGACATGGGACTGATGACCTTATGTGAGACTTGTAATTCATTATTTGATTAAATTATATGTATTTAAAATTAGGATATTTTTAGTTATCAAAAAAAAATTAGGATATTTTTGTATATATCTTACTCTTAGTACTTATGTCTCAATTAATCTAAACTAATTCTTATGTTCATAGGTAGCAAGGTTACAAAACAACCGTCTATGTGGAGGCACATATTGTGGATTCAAACAGTCTCACATGTACATATAAAGAAATGTTGCCTCGAAGAACCATATTCTAAAAAACAGGGTTGATATTTCATGAGTATAGTGAAACCAAACGTTCTTTTTCGTCGTTTGATTCCACCTTTTGTCGTCGCTGATGTCCCATCATTTTGTCACTAATGTCACATCGTTCCATCACCAGAGACTGAAGCTCTTTGCCATTGCGAAAGTTCACATCGATCCATGTCCTTACCTACCCGAACATATTATCAACACATAATCCATTATGCATTTTTATCAATGTGAACATTTACATAAACTCATTGTTAACTATAACAGTTTAAGTCTTTACAAATATCCAAATTGCATAAAATTTGTCATTATCAATGTTCACATACCACATTCACATAATCAATCATATATATTCACCTTGACATATGACATATCATATATCACATTTTCATCCACATTCACATACCACACATTTATTAGGTTCACAATGTGAGCATTCTTGCCACGACAATTAGAACTCATCTTCATATTGAAAGCCAGTTAGAATAGCCGCATCATAGAGAATTAGAGGCATTACTCACAAATTACATAATAAGAACATTCACAATATGAATTTGTGTTCAGGAATAATATAAATATTGATGCTATGAAAGAATCAAACAAACTAACCTTCTTCTAATAGATTACTTGCACGATTCAAAATCAAGAGAAACAACTATGTATGGATTCGATGCAAAGCTAGAACATTAAATTTGTATGAATCAAACCCTCCATTCACTCCGCAAGAAATCTGTATTACTGATGGAAATCATGAGCCATCATAACAAAACATGCAAAATGAAATATATATATATATATATATGTTGTATGATAAGAGAAGAAAAAATATTTATAAAGGTAATAAAAATGTCCACAAAAAATTTTAAATATGATAATTGAGATTTGGTGGATAAAATCTTCAAAATAGTACAACTTATTGAAATACAAGAATATCTCTTAGACTAATTGATACAAGTATAGAAATGATAATTTTTCACTAAATTCCCTTTTAAAGTTGTTTCAAATAAATGCATTTCAAAGCAATTGGTAAAGGGTTTGGCTGCTATGTATGTGGGGTTTTTAGTTTTGTTTCACTACTGGATTGGGGTATGTGTTTTCTTGTGAGTTGAACAAAAATGTATTGTGAGGAGGGGGTGGTTGTGTTGATTCCTCATCAACACTCAGTTTTTTCTGCAGCCGTTTTGGCAAATTGGATCGTGTTCATGCCGTCTTTTTTTGCTATTCTAGTTGCTGTTGTATTGCTTCTTTGTTGGCTTTTTAATTTTATTAATGAATCTTTGTTTTTGTCAATCAAAAAATATATTTTTAAAAAAAATCTAGTTTCAAAATAAACATCAAGGATGAGCTTAGTAGATAACCTGGTCTTTTATGAAGCATGATGTGTTTATTTATTTTTTGATCAGATTATAAAGCGTGATGTTTGAGTTCAAGTTTTATCTATTAGGTAATGCAAACTTCCTCTATTTCCTTCCGTTGATGGTAAAATAAAATAAATTTTTTTTGAAAAAGTTGGTAATATTTGAAGAATGCTATCATACACACCATTTTATCATATACACCTTTATTTATCTCTTTTTTTTATAATTATGACATTATTTTGAGATATTTAGTTATGGGCCCGTTTGGTAGAGCTTATAAACAGCTAAAATCAGGTTATAGATTATTTTAAGTTGTTTTGGGTGGTGTTTGGAAAGGTAGATTGAGGCTAAATTAGCCATATCACGACAAAAGTAGCTAATTTAGCCACATCACGACAAAGCCTCCTTACACGGGTTGGAGACAACCCTTCTTCGAGCAGATTTACAGATATACCTTGGCTATTCCTCTCATTCATTTCCCCCAACGCCAAAGGTAAACACAGAACATAAATGTCCTAGGGCATTTCGAAAAGAAGGAGGCGACTTGCTTGAACCAGCGGCGGCAACGACATCTGGTTCCAGCTTCTTACAGGCGATCGGGCCGGAGTAGCCATCTGCGGCGGCGAAGACGACTCGCGAACCCTCTCAAACACCACCGATCTTGAGGTATCTCTTTCAAACCCGTCTAATTTCGTAGATCTGTGTGAGTGTGTGTGGCGTATGCTTACAGTTCATGTGTGGAATCCCTTTCTCTCTGATTTCGTAGATCTGTGGAGTCCCTTTCATGTGTGGAGTCCCCTGTTCGAAAGATTGATCTGTTCATGTTCACACATTGTTGTGATAGATATATATATATACATATAGTTATCCAAAAAAAATAAAAATAATAAAAAAATATATATACACACATACATCTGTTCTTACATATAAATCTGTAAATCTGTGAGTAATGAGGGCCGGACTATGTATATATATGTTCAGATCCGTAAATGACCCTGTTCTTCTTTTGATTTTGTTCTTCTAATTATTAGTTGTGATCTGCTTTTCTCAGATCACAATTAAAAATGGAAAATTTGGTGGTTGGGTTCACACATTTTGTTCACATCACAATCTATTTGGGTTCAAATTCTTATCTGATTTTTTGCAGATCATTTGATTTTGTGCTTGGGTTCACACATTTTGTTATTATAATTAGGTCAAATGAAAAATTTCAGATCTTTTGATCACAAACTGTGGCTAATTTACAAAATGAAGGAAAACATGAAAATTTTTGTTATATTTTTTTTTTATAGTCAATGTTGAAGCCTGAATTTTTGCTAATTTAGAAATGCTCAATTCTCATTTGTAAAAAATATATTAATTACATAAAAAATATATTTCAAACTAAATTTGGGAAGGAAGGTAGATATATTATCTATATATATACACAACAAATTACAAAATATATAAAACTTATAGTACAAATATATTAGAAAATTGGGTTTATTAACAAATATATTAAAAATATATTAGAAAGATATTAAAAATATTTTAAAATATATATTACAAATTTAGATTTAAAAAGTAAAGAGTGTAAAAATTTTATTAAACATATATGACAAAATTTAATTATTAAAAAATATATTCAAAATTTATTCAAAAATATTTTCAAAATATCATAAAAAATGTATTCAAAATATATTACAAAATAGATTTATTAATTTGAATATATTAATTTGAATGCATGGATATCCGAACTATATGCATATCCGAACTATATGGGGCGATTTGAGGAAAATGTTTGCATGCCGAAGGAAGTTTTTGTCGCCTTGTGTGAGACATTAGTAAATGATTTTGGGTTACAAGTCCCGCAACGTCCACATATATTAAAAATATATTAAAATATATATTACAAATTTTGATTTAAAAAGTAAGGAGTGTAAAAATTTTGTTAAACCTATATGACAAAATTTAATTAATACAAAATATATTAAAAAGATATTAAAAAATATTTTAAAATTATCTTAAAGAAAATTTCCTCAAAAATATTTTAAAAAATATAACAAAAATTTAGTTTTCAAACACTTTTTCGAGTAAAAAATATATTCCAAATATATTACAAAATACATTTATTAATTTTAATATATTTTGTACTCAATACTCAATGCTCAATTCTCATTTGTGAATAACATATTTCACTTAAAAATATATTACAAACTAAATTTGGGAAGGAAGGTAGATATATTAAAAAGTTATTAAAAATAACGACAAATTGGGTTTATTAAAAAATATATTAAAAAGATGTTAAAAATATATTAAAATGTATATTCAAAATTTACATTTAACAAATTATATGTCCGTAAAATTTTTATTAAACATATATTAAAAAAATAAATTATTACAAAATATATTAACAATATATTCACAAATATATTAAAAAATATATTCAAAAATATATTACCAATATACCTAAATTCATGATGCACAATACTTTTACAAACAATCAAGTTCGTTCATGGAATCAAATATAAAATTGCGTTAGTCTTTGTACGTTTTCATGTTGATTCATGTAAATTTAATTGAAATTTAAAGCGTAGCATGGCGTCGTTCACCTCTACTGCAACTTCCAGTACATGCCACGACGAATGTGTGCCTGTGGACATGGCCCCCGTATTGTTAAGATTTCCAGGTCCACCAAAAATTCAAGGCGTCCCTACTTTGTCTATCCCCGCCCTGTGGTGAGTGACCATTCTTTACTGGTCATAACTGTATGAACATTAACAACCCATGAAACTAATAGTTCCATAATTTGCACTCATCAGCCCTGTGTCAGTTGGATTGGTTGGTGCGAAGAACGAAGGCGAGAGAACCAAGACTATGCATCACCCAGAGATGAAATTGCCATGCAATTGCAGGCTGATGTCGTAGACATTCAACAATCCTTGTGTGTCCTTAAGACCATTGTGTATGTGCTCTGCATTGTCGTTGTCATTTTGTTGTGCCGTATGTAAGCACCGTTACCATTTTGTCAGTATGTAGTTAGTATGTTGGTAGTATGTTGTTGCATATGGGAGCTGTATTAATAACTATCATATTTTTGTCCATTACTAACTTGTGTGTCCTTAGGAAATTTGAGAAAAAAAAAGGATAGGCTTGAAAACATAGACAGAAACAGTTGAAGAATAAGTACATGAGCTTGAAAAAAGAGTGGCAAGCGTGGACAAAGTTAATCGATTCAAACAAACGAGTGTCAGGGATAGGCTTTGATAGTGACACCAGTATGTTTCAGGCACTTAAGGAGTGGTGGGACAAGATGGAATCGGTAAGTACATATACAAACAAGTTTCATATTTGTCATTTACCAGTACATGTTTGGTAGTTTGTAGTTCAATTTTAATTATTTATATGAAATGTAATGTAATTCTCTTTCATATATCTGTATTTCTGCAGATAAACAAGATGTGTGCCAAGTTCAGGAAAAAAACCTTGGAACATCATGAGTTGATGGAAACGGTCTTCATGGGGGCATCAGCTACTGGTAAGCACCATTGGACCCCGGGAGAGAAACTCGCTGAAGCTGCTGACGACTCATCTGATTCAGTGCACAGTTTGGGAGCCCAGCCATTTGCTGATCCGATACCCGCAGGAGTATAGGACGTGGATTCAGATTCTTCATTGGAGCATGTTCCAATTGAAAAGGGGAAAAGGAGAAAGACGCCATCAAGCAGTGTTTCAAAGTCCAAGAAGGCAACAAGTGGAGCATCAGTTATTGCGGAAAGCATGAACAATCTGACAGATGTGGTGCGTACGAAGAATCAGCAGGTAGGCAACGAATCGCTGTATACTATTTCGAAGTGCATGCATCGCCTAACGAGTATTCCATCCCTGGTTGGTACGCCGTTATTCCACTTCGCCTCGACACTTATGGATAACGCCGATTTGCGGGAGGTGATGATGTGCCAACCTGATGACGACTCTATCATAGGGCGGCTTACACAAAAACAGCTCTAGTGTACTGCATTGGCGCCTTTTGCAAACCTGTTTGGGGCTTGCCGGATGTGATGTAGCAATGTTAAGAGTGTTGAAGATGCCTATCCTTCTGTTGCATTATGAAAACTTTTACTTATCCTAATGTTGGCACTGTATTAAAACAGGATGTGTGTGTGCATGTTTTTATTCCTTTTTTTTTGTGGTTTTTATTGGTACTTACGGTGGACAAAACTTTTAATTCAGTGCATGGGTTGTCGTTCATGGAAGCATGGTTGTACATGTTTTTTGAGAAATGAACGGGATGCTTTTGTATGTCTATATTATGCAAATTTAACTGTTAGTTTACTTTAACGTCCACTTTTGTGGTTGTTACCACTATCGCCCCCGGTAAATTCAAATTGAACAGGTTACCAATTTGTGAAACTCATATCATTACGCGTTATTACTGACAGTGGTGACGGCATTGCTTACATGAAAACCAATTTTAATATATTTGTTTATTGCAATTTTCCAAATAATTTGAGTCAATGAAAGGGAAGCAAACTAATTGATAGAGTGCCACTCTTGTAGGTTTTGCATCAATGAAGACGTAATGAATCCATGGGATGGAAGCAACAATGACAGAATAAGGGAAATGCTTAATCAAATGGCGGTCCAGGTGCAACAAGAACACAACTACACATTTCTACAAGCATGCCAATATGCGACAAAATGGTACGCAAAACACATGGCCAAAACGCCATGTCGCAATTCTATACTAACCGAGAATGCATGGATATCCAAACTATATGCGGGCCATATGGGGCGATTTGAGGAAAATGTTTGCATGCCGAAGGAAGTTTTTGTCGCCTTGTGTGAGACATCAGTAAATGATTTTGGGTTACAAGTCCTGCAACATCCACATGGCTTAGCTGTTGAAGAAAGCGTTGCAATGTTTATCCATGTGTTGAAAGGGAAGCAAAATCGGAAAATTCAAGAACGGTTCCAACATTCGGGGGAGACTGTGTCTCGGCACGTGCATAATGTATTGACTTCCATGAAAGCGTTCACTGTAGTTCATTGCCGCCCCACATACAGTCAGCATCGTATATATTCATACGTGCAGTCTAGACGGAAATACCTACCGTTCAAGGTACTACTGAAAACCATTATTGACATATAAATAAAGAGTGTCAGTTATTTTGTTTTTATTATTAATTGGAGGTGACGTATGGGAAAAACCAAACACTTGTTACCTGTTTAAGCAACAAAAGAAGTGGGTTGTTTGCAGGACTGCATTGGCGTAATAAACGGAACACATGTAAGTGCATAGGTTACGGGGCCAGATGCGGCAACATATTTCGGTAGGAAATACTGTCACACGCAAAATATCATGGCCGCGGTGGATTTTGACATGTGTTTCATATTCATTTCGTGCGGATGGGAAGGAAGTATGCATGATAGTCGCATATTTAACGAGATACTAACGAATGACAATGTGCCATTCCCACATCCTGACGAAGGTAACACATGGCCATGAATTAGATTTATGGGGCCATACATTTTTTTCGGAAAATAACGTTACTTGAAAATGAAGCACAATGTTTGGTTTTCATGTCATACATTGTTGTCATGTCTGCAGGCAAATATTATCTTGTTGATTCTGGCTATCCAAACCGAATAGGTTACTTAACACCATTCAAAGGCCACCGTTACCACCAACAAGAATTCCGACGTATTGCAAGGAACACAATGGCAAACACGCCAAGGGAATTATTTAACAAAGTTCACTTGTCATTACGCAGTGTGGTGGAACGCACTTTCAGTGCCTGGAAAAATCGATGGGGGTTTATTCGAGACATGCCCCGCTATGACTTTGCAAATGTGCAAGTTCAGTTAGTAGGTGCGTCAATGGCATTACATAATTACATACGGCAAAACACAGGTAATTCAACAACTGTTCACCCAATCTGTGACGAGGAAGAGGCAATGGAAATAGTAAATGCCATACCAGAAGTTGAACATGACGAGGATGGTTTAATGGTTGGGGATGGGACCCGCATATGACATTGGTGCGCCTTCGCATACGCGACAAATTATGGTACATGCGTAATAACGGAATGTTAGGAAATATATAATAGTCGACATAATTTTCGTAGGGTTGGAACATTGGTATCACATGTGGAACAGACTGTATTCAAAAATATTATCATGTACAATATGTATGTGTTTACACGGGAATATACCCACTTCCAGTTGGTGACGTGCGTAACTCTAAAAAACCAAAAACCACAGAGAAAAGCCAGTTCGAAAAAGAAAACAAAAATAGGCCTCGTCCAAAAGTAAAAGGAATATAAAAAAAAAAAACAGAAATTAGCATTTGCCACGTAATTTACAAATAAATAAAACACATGAAAATCCATTTTTGAAAAATAAAAACAAGTTAAAGTGAGTGAATAAAAAAATGACAAAATCGTAAATTAAAAAAAAATAACGAGAAAATACGCCTCATTGAAACAAAATAAATAAAAAAGAAAACATAAATTACCATTCGCCACGTAATTTACAAATAAATGAAACACATAAAAAAAATGTTATTGTATACCAATAAAAATAAATAAGGCAAAAAACGTAAATTAAAAAACAAGAACTAATTAAAGTATAAAAAAATAAAATAAACAAAAACATAAATTTAAAAAAAAAATTAAGCAAAATACGCCAAATCCAAACCTAAAATAAAAAAATAAATAATTTACCAAAATACGCCAAAATAAAACCCAAAATAAAAATAAAAATAAAAATTCAACAAAATACGCCAAATCCAAACCCAAAATAAAAAATATATATATATATATTTTAAATAAAACCCAAAAAAAATTAATAATAATAAAATTTAAACAAAATATGCCAAATCCAAATCCAAAATACAAAAAAAATAAATAAATATTTTACCAAAATAAAATAAAACCCAAAATAAAAATATAAAAAATAAAAAAAAATTAAACAAAATAGGCCAAATCAAAACCCAAAAAAAAAGGTTAGCAAAAAATGCCAAATCCAAACCGAAAATAAGAAAAAAATTTAAAAAAAAAAAAAACAAGAAGAAGTTCGGACCGTCGGGAGGGAAGTTGACGTGGACGTCAAATACATTTCAATTACAGGTACAAATCTTATCAAGGGCACTTTGGTAAATTCATAGGAAGACACCTCACCAAAAAGCCAAAAAACCTTTCCCAAACCAGGCTTTTTAGTCCCAGGCAAAAATAGCCAAAAAAGTCAAAAAGCCAAAAAGCCAACCCACTTCCCAAACGGAGGCTTGGTGTGTTTGGTAAAACTTAAAATCACTTTTTGTAGCTTAAATTAAGCCAAAAAAGTGTTTTTTGGCTGAGTGGCATCTAGGGTGCTTAACTCATCAGCTTAAGCGAGAAGCTACCAAATTGAGGGGCAAAATTACTTAAATGCCCTTTACTAATTTGAAGTATTACCAAGTTGTCATTATATAAACCACCAAGCATCACTGTTTATTCTCTGAGAGAGAGACAGAGGCGATTTCCGACAAGCGATTTCAAGCGAGAGGCCAACCAGTGCTCTCTCTCTCTCTCTCTCTCTCTCTCTCACGAACCAGTGCTCTCTCTCTTTTAGCGATCGACACCCTAGCTTCGCGATCGAAACCCTAACCAAATCGATTGCGTGAAACCCTAGAGTCATGATCAACTCTTTCAGATCTCTTCAAACCAGATCTCTTTCAGATCACGATTACGATCTGAAACCCTAGAGTCACGATCGACTGTGTGACGATTGACGATGACGATCAACCATCCGTCGTTGTCCGGCATTGGTCCGTCATCGATCGGCTGCGGTTCTCTCTCCGGCGATGGATTTCAGTGTGTTTTGTTTTGTTTTATTTTATTTTTTTGAAGTTTTCAGTGTTTTTTTAATTAAAAAATCATAATAATAATTAAGCATTTTAGCCATTAATGAAACAAATTTTATATTAATTGATACTAATTAAAAATTTTAATATTAATTGATGCTAATTAATCCATTAATTGACACTAATTAATTTATAATGAAAAAATGAAATAATTTTACTAAAAATGAAAAAATGAAATATCACTAAAAAAAATGATATAAATTGAAAAAAATGAAAGGATTTGTCAAATGAATAAATGAATTACTAAAAATGGAAAAAATGAAATATTACTAAAAATAATTAAAATGAATAATAATAATAATAATAATAATTGATGGACAAATTGATACAAATTTTAATAATTGATGAATAAATTAATAATTATAATAATAATAATTAATAATTGATACTAATTTTAATAATTGATGAGCAATTGATAATTTTTATACTAAAATCACAATTAATAAATTAAAAAATTAACAAAGAAAGAAGAGAAGAAAGAAAAATTTTAAAAAGAAAATAAAATAAAATGAAAAAGAAAAAGAAAAAAATGTATTATAAATGAAATCACAAATTTTATATCTTATAAGGGCAAAAATGACAATTACACAATAAAAAGCTATTTTACAGTTTATTTACCAAACACTACTCTGCTGCTTAAATCCATAATCTCACAGCTGCACCAAACAGATTACCAGCTTATATCCACAGTTGTAAGTTATAATATGTTAAGCTATAATCTATAATTACTTTCCCACAGCTCTACCAAATGAGATCTATGTATCATTTGTGTTTGGTATAATCTATATATATATATATATATTTAGTTATAACTCAGAAAATATTAAATTATATCATTTTCTTATACAATTATAAGTTGCGTAATATTTTAAGCTAAAATAATTAGATTTAAATATTTTATCTTAAATTCTAACTTTTGAAAATACAACTATGACTGTATCCAAAAAAAGAAAATACAACTATGACATTTTGAATTTTAAATTTAAAACTATATAAGCTCCAAAGTACCTATCACTTTGTTTGATTTTAGTTTTCAGGACTTACTTTTCAAAAAAAATTATTTTTTGGTTTTCCCTATTTTTTTTTATTGTTATCATTGAATTTTTTTAATATTTCAAGTAATTTTTTTAAAATTTTAGACACATCAAACATAAATGTACTTAAAAAGTAAGAAAATTTACCTATAAATCCTATTTTGAGGAATGATAATCCATTTAGTCCTAAGGATTTTCTTATAGACCAATTAGTTCCATTAATTTTGAAAATGTAGATTTAATATATTATTTGAAAATTGGATTTACAGTTATACCCTTATTTCTATTATGTTTCCTTTTCTTTTTCTTTTGTGCTAGAAAAGTAAGGTGTACAATTTATGGGAATTAAATTTAGGATTAATTTTTATATGGGAACCTTTTTTATTTGGAAAACATTTCAAAATGAATATAAAAATTACTTGAAATATAGGATCTTTCAAACATTCGAAAAGCATGTGGGATTCTTTAAATATTTCAAAAGAAGTACAAAAACTCCTTAGTAAGTTTTAGACAAATGTATAATTTTAAACTATAACACTCCAATGTAACACTTCAAAAAAAAATGTTTAGTATACTTTTCTCAAATGTAACACTCTAATATAACACTCCAAAAGAACTCCTTAGTGTGTAACACTCTAATGTAACACACAAAAAAAATTCATTAGTGTTCCCAAACGTAACATTCTAATGGAACACTCCAAAAAAGAAGATGTGAGATTCTTCAAACCATTCCAAAAAGAGTACAAAAATTCGTTAGTAAGCTTTGGATAAATGTATTATAGCGATTCTGATTATAACCCGACCCTTTTTGTATCTTGGACTTGGGTTTTGTGGTTTCGTATTGTTGCCCATGTCTTGTTTCCCTTATACTTCTTTAAATTTGGCTATTGGATTGTTGTGGTTGCATTTGGAATAAGTTGGTTGCTTGGTTTTTAAACTTTTGTTGCCCAGAATTTTACTCTTCCGCTCGAGCGGGCTTTGTGAACTCTCAATACTTTTGTAGGTCTGCAAAACTACTGGGAGAGTGTATTCTACGCTCAAGCATTCTCAACTCGAGCAGCCTTTCTTGCACTTGAGGGTTGGTCTATTGTTTACAAAACTATTGGGAGTGTACATTCTGCGCTCGAGCGTCACTTCTTGCGCTCGAGCAGACTGTGCGTATATCAGTTCGTAAAAGTCACATTTTACATCATTTTTTTTTTATCTCTTTCTCTCTTTAAACATTTCAAAAACCCTTGATCTAAAGTTTCTCTCTCTAAATCTTCTAAAACACCTAGATCTGTTGGGTTCTCGACCCTAGTGTCTTTGGGAAAAAGATAGAGCATCTCAAGAGCTCTATTTTGGTCCGAACAAAACTTGGTTTCGGCGTCTTTAAAGTTCCTCTATTTGCTTCCTTGATCTCTAGCTTCGAGATAAGGATTTTCTACACTCTTCTATAAGTTTTAACTTAGTTATTTGTTGATGTGTAAAGAATATTGAAACTTGGGATGATTTGGAACAAACTTAGGGTTTTGGTTTAAAATCAAAAGAGGGGTTTTTAAATGTATGTATTAAAAATGGTTATGGGAATAGATGTGAGGTTCTGTTGTGATAAATTTGTTGAGTTTGATACCTAGGATGGATTTTGGAAGAAAATGAAGTTTTTCCCTAAAATGTCTCAAATAGTTATTTTGTATAAATAAATGAAATTGGTATTGGAAATATGAAATTGGATGAATGCTTATATACATAATGAAGTTGGATATGTGTTACCTCTCACCTATGGAATTTTGGATAATTTATCTGTCTTGGAGATTATATATCTGCTTAGAAATATTTGTTTTGGGCTATTAGTGAAAGATAGCTATGATTGTTGTAGAAATTGCAAGAGAATTAGGTGAATTGAAATTAATCACTTATCCGTTGTCATTGGGAAATGACTATGTCTTTGATACATTATAAATGTATGATGTTTGGGAGAAGAAATGAGATGTACTCCATGTTTGGGAGAAGAAAGGGGATGGGCTCCATTGAACTAAGTTGGCCAGTGTGTCCAGGATGAAAGTCCCAAAAACCGCGTGCATATACAGGGTGCCGATTCCTGGGGACGAAATATCCGTAAAATAACAAAATGGAAGTATTTGTACAATGGCTGTGTTGGTTAGAGACCCACTGAGTTGTACCCTTAGTTTGGTTGTTTGAATAAAATAGTGAATGACTCATGAATTAAGATACAAGAAATTGAGATATAAAACTTGGCATGACATTATTTTGTAAAAGAGTTATAAATGATTTTATCATGGGCATTTGATATGCATGTCATACTTATATTTTTGTTAAGATTCATACATGGTATTTTATTGTTTCTACTAGGTTTTGGCCCACTCTATTTGGAAAAAATCAATTTCAGGTGTCGGTAATATGCGTCTGCCAATATAGTAGCTTAAAGGGATTTGGAGCAAGAGGTTCTCTTTTGTTATATTTATTTTATACAACCAATGGCTTTAATTGTGTTGAGCTAGACTCATTTTTGTTGTAACCAAGCAATGACTTTGAAAGATGTAAGCCCTTAGTGCATACGAATATCTGTTTAGCTTTTATTTCTTTTACTACTTATATCACATACTGTATATTCAGGATGAGCTATTTATAAATGTATATTGCATGCATCACCTTTTGTTTATTAACCCTGATTAGTGGAAGTTTATCATTTCATTTGTGTTACCTTATATTAGTGTCGTGGGTTGGATTATTATAATTATTTCGGGGCGTTACATGTATAATTTTCAAACTATGAGTGTTACGTTTGGAAAAAGTACATTAAATAATTTTTTTAATATTTTTTTATGGGTTACATTGGAGTGTTACGTTTGGGATTACATTGATTGAACTGTTACGTTTGGGAAAAGTACATTAATGAGTTTTTTTTGTGTATTATATTGGATTGTTATATTTGAAAAAAATATATTAAGGAGGAAAAAGTACACTTATGAGTTTTTTTGGAGTGTTTCGTTATTACGTTTGGGAAAAGCACATTAAGAAATTTTTTTGAAGTGTTACGTTGTTACATTTGGGGAGTTTTTTTGGAGTGTTACGTTGTTACTTTTGGGAAAAGTACACTAAGAAACTTTTTTAGAGTGTTATGTTGTTACATTTAGGAAAAATATACCAATGAGTTTTTTAATATGTTACATTGGAGTGTTACGTTATTGGAGTATTACATTGGAATGTTACGTTTTTGTTCATAATGTGAGATTTGCTCCATGAGGAAAGAAAATCCAAAACCTCTATGGAGTAGATTGGCTAAATGTATAATTTTATATTTGGAGAAATCCACTTTTATCCTTAAAAAATTAAACCTAAACATGTAAGTGATTACCTTTTTGTGTAATTTTCACTTTAATAGGACCTTTGTATTCATAAGAAAAAAGGAAGACTAAACCATTCACAAGATCATATTTTGAGATTTATTAGTGTTTCACCTAAAAAGTATAATATTTGTGAATTTTTTTTAAAATTTTTTTACTAAATACCAAAAATACAAAAAAAAAAATTCAAATATTTTTCGTATTTTTGTGTATCTATTAATTTTTTAAAATATTTTTTTACAAATATTTTATTATTTAAATACATCCAAATAAGGTGCATCTAAAAAAGTAAAAAAATTGCTTAAAATTTTAAAAATATTCACTGAAAATAAAAAAATACATAAAATAAAAAACTCAATTTAAAAAATTGAGAACAAACTATATAATTTTGTATTTTTTCTATAAAAAAAATTGAAAATATAAATATTTTACCAAAGTGACCATTATTTTCCCCAAACATTGACATTTTTAGAATTTTCCCAACATGAAACCACTATGGGTGTAATTGGCGGCAGGTTTAATCGGGTTGAGAGGTTATCCATGTTCAACCTAAGTTGTTCTGAGATCTGCTCAAAAACTTGTCTAGGCCTGAATTATAACTCGAGATTGCCTATTCAAGTCCGACCCGAGTTAAACTCGAATTGTCCAATTGCGCAAATTGCCCGAGTTGTAAATAAATTTCAATTTTTTTTAGTTAAATTATTAAAATTTGACTCTATTTACATTTTTTAATAGAAAATCATTAATATCATCAAAACAAATAATTTATATAATGTAAGAGAGATACTACTATAATAATCTTTACAATTTATGAGTGAAAATAAAAAAAATAAGATTTTTTTAGATTTTAGATTTTAGATTACCCCAATGGTATGACATTTTTACCTAAATTTGTCTAATTGTAATTTAAATTTTTAAATTTTTAAATTTTTACTCAAATACCTACCAAATTAAAAAATATCTCAGGCCACTACTAAAAAAAAATTCGAACTCATTTTTTAATAGAAAATCATTAATATCATCAAAATAAATAATTTATATAATGTAAGAGAGATACTACTATAATAATCTTTACAATTTATGAGTAAAAATAAAAAAAATAAGATTTTTTTAGATTTTAGATTTTAGATTACCCCAATGGTATGACATTTTTACCTAAATTTGTCTAATTGTAATTTAAATTTTTAAATTTTTAAATTTTTACTCAAATACCTACCAAATTAAAAAATATCTCAGGCCACTACTAAAAAAAAATTCGAACTCAATTTGAGTTGCTCGGATTCTACCGTCCAAATTGCGAGCCAAGGTTTTCTCCTTGCAGCCTGGTGTTTGCGCCCGTCCTTGCAGGTCTTCGGGTCTACTTTTAGGCCCAATTTTAATAATCCGAACCGTTCATATTTTATGATTTATTCAGTATATCATACCTGCAAAAAATCAAGTTGATCGGATATCAGAAAGTATGTGTTTGGAAAACTGTTTATTAAATTATTTAAAAAATAGTTTTTAGTTCAATTTTTCGAACACATACTTTCTGATATCCGATCAACTTGATTTTTTACAAGTATGATATACTGAATAAATCATAAAATATGAACGGTTCGGATTATCAAAATTGGGTCTAAAAATAGACCCGAAGGCCTGTAAGGACGGGCGCAAGGATAGAAGCTGCAAGGAGAGGATCCTGATTCCCAAATTGCACCCCAGTAACCACCTCATCTATCTCCCATCATGTGTACGGTGTATCTACGACGCGCTAGGCTGTCCTTCTAAAAATATAAAATTACGCGCTCTCTCACATTTTACTCTGTTTCTCTCTCCTCTCCCCTTCATCCATGGCGATCTGAGAGAAAGGAGTGCATGTAGAGAGAGAGAAACTGTAATTTGCAACTGAAATCTAGGGCATTTCTTGGTCTCATTCTTGCCCTACCACAGAGACAAATTCAGAGAGAGAGAGAGAGAAGGGCATAGAAAGTATGGAGACAATGTCGCCATTAGACTCTCTCGATTCTTTTATCATCTCTTCTAGCAGAGCTTTCTGTAGCCCTCTCGCCATGTTTATTCAGTTCCAGGTTCGTTTTTCCAATTTCACTGTTTGTTTTCGGTGATAATCGAAAAAAGCTGAGATTTTTATTTATTTATTTATTCTCATTCTTGTACGGTTCGGATCTGAGAATTAGGCATGCGTTTGGCTGCCGAGAAAATACTGAGTAAATTGCAAAAACAAGAAACTTCCGTGATTTTTTTTTTTTTTTTTTTTTTTTGAAATGGAGATTTCTTATCCAAATAACTTTCTTGGCTAAACTTTAGTTGAGTTTTTGTTTCTAGAGGGCAAATCAAGGGACATTTACGATGCAAATCATTCATATGGTTTTTCCCCCATTGTATCTTTTTAATCAACCTAGCGGATTGTAATATTAATTATGTTTGGAATTGTGAATTTCAAAGGAAAATTTTCAATTTTAATTTTCCTAATTTTGTTCTATTAGAATTCATTACTTTATGGGTGTGTTAGTTTTGCCTAGCCTCTCATATTGTGAGAGATTATTCTTTAGGTTTGATGTAATGTTTTGTCCAATCCTAAAGTTTGGTGTCACATCTTGGAAGTTGTGTTGATCCTCAGGTTGTGTATTGAGCATCTCTGTATTAACTATATTTTTTGGTATAAAACTAACCGCCTACTTACCCCCAAAAAAAAAACAAAAAAGAAGAAGAAGAAGAAGAAGAAGAAGAAGAATTTGTTACTTTGGATGATGAGGCCTTGTATTCCTTGATTGTTTGATCTGAGGAGTTCAATCTGTGAGATTTGACATTAGACAAAAAAAGGAAAAGCTAGAACAAGGCTCTGTGATTAGGACTTTGTGGCATAGCGAGGTAGTTGCCTGAATTTTGGCCAGAATTTTGGATTTTTCACTATAGCAAATTTGGGCCAATGGAATGACAGTTGTTTTGCTGATTTATAATGACATTTACTGTGCTGATATTGAATTCTTGAATAATTCGAGAAAGCATCTTTTTGTTTGTCATTATTACATTAGCTTTTGTTGCTAATAAAACGATCCGAGCTGTAAAGTAGTCAGTATGCTGGCACTTTTGATCTTTGTGTGTTCAATGGGGACCATATTACTAATATTACTAATAGCTTAATGTGGCAGATGTGTGCTTCTTCCTTAATTATTATTATTTTCCATTTTTTTTTTTAAGGGTGGTTTGGGATGATCTAAATAAGTGCACTTTTTGACTTTTTGTGAAATATGGATTGGGTATGGGTTGGGTTTGAAGTGATGTGATAGAGAGGTGATGTGACTTAAATAAGATGATGTGACTTAAATAGAATAGTGACTTTTTTGTTTTTTTTAGAGTACCCCAAACAAGGCTTTAGTATCAGAGAGGAATATCCTTGAAGGAACTAAAAGGTTTGGTTCAAGAATCGTGATGAAATATGACAAATGAATTTTTTTTTTCTTCTTTTGAAATTTCATAAATTTTGAGGACAAAATATGAAAATTTGACTTGTTTGGTATTGTTTTCATTTTATGGAAAATACAAAAATTGTTGGATCTACTGTTTTTGAAAACTGTTTTTGAGAGAATTTTCTTCAAATAACCCAGTTTAAAAAAAGTCAGTAAGTGATTTTAAAATTTTATTTTTATTTTTATTTTTTTAAAACTTTATTGCACAAAAATGAAAATAATAGGTGCTTTTGAACTTTTCAACATTTTTGTTTCCAAAAGCACAAAAACCAAAATTTATTTTTATCTGTGTGCTAATCATTTGCGTATTCTTTCACCATGCCAGTTGGACGTTAAAGAGTGTTCTCTTTGATATATAATTAATCTGCCAGCTTGGACCTGTGTCCATATTCTACAAAGTGTTTTTCGTCTTCTTCTGTGGATTGGTATAGGCAAAACATTTGCACCATATTAGTAGAACTTTAAAAGATGGAAGCAATGGTGTTGGGCATCAATTAATTGGTAGGTTATTGTGCTTCTGCGAATCAAACTGAATAGACAAACCTTAAGATGGAGGAGTTTCGAGTTGCTTGAATATAATAGTTATCTTTATTTGTAAGCCAAAGTTAACAGTTTACAAGTTTAAAGTCTTGAAACTGCGAGTTTGTTTGGTATCCCATAAATAATTGCACTTATTTAGACCAGTGCACTTATTTGGGTCACATCACCTCTCTACTTTTCTGCACATTCTTTTGTGAAAAATTAAAAAGTACACTTATTTAGATCAGCCCAAACTACCCACTGAGGTAGAAATTATAATCGCTAAATATTTAGAATAGCATATCTAAAGGAGTCTTTGGTTCTTATGTAAAGACCCGGTAATTTCCTCAGGTTCCACATGTCACTCTTTTAAGACCATTTACTCTTTGGTGTAAAGTGGTCATAATATTTGTTAATTTGTTTGCTGCAATTCTTTGTTACATGCATGCCTGTATAACTGAATAACTATCTTAGGATTTTAGCCCTAATTGCTTCACCTTTCCCTTCAATGTTTGTTATTTCTTTAATTTTATAATACAAGGGCCATTGTTAATTTATATTCAACAGGTTAAGCTATTGGAACATTTTTTGTTTTTTTTGTTATACATGCCATATGATTTTCACGACAGGACTGAAGTCTGCATCCTTGATTATGCTTTTCTAAATATTGCTTGTAACAAAAAGAGGCATTCCCTTTAGAATGAAATTTGGAGTGAGAAGATCTTTGTGTAGGTCAATGGAATAAAGTTCTGAAGATAAGCTACTGGCCAAAAGTGATTAAAAAATTCAACTCTAATAGAGGTGTCCTTCCATATCCTCTAGATTGGCTACTAATATTTTGGTCAATTTATTTCTACCATTATCACATTAGAATATGAAAGTTTGATGTAGTTCCTAGAGATCAAGTGATTAGCTTTGATCATCTTAAAATGGTAAAGGTCTTTGCTTTAGAATTCTGCTTGCTTGCTCTTAGTTGATAATGCAATTCTCATTCATGACTAATTGGGAAAAGGCGTGGGGTCATTCTTCTGTTTTGTACTTTGTAATTCGCAACCAAATTGGGTTCTTAAGGATGGACTCATATAGAATCTGCTCTCGTATATAAGGAAAATAACTAGGTAAGATAGGAGGTTGCTTTGTAGGTTTAGCAGTTGTTTGATGCTGTTGCTTTTCCCTAACTAGATGAGGTTACTTGTCGCTACTTGTAAAACCAAATCTGTAAGGTCTTAGCCCTTGAAGTTTCTTTGAAAATTTGATTACTTTGATATATCTCAATGAGTATCACAGTGATGTTGACAAAGGTATTGTGGGTGACATGGGTATGAACTACCTGACAAGGAGACTTCAATGATAAATTTTTTTTGCACAAGCTGGTGCCTATAGGTGCCCTTATAGCGATCCCGGTTTTTCCTTCCTTTGTATACTATATTCTGGACTTTGTTCCGTGGACTTGTTTTTGTATCATCATCAATTCTAGCCTTTCCTCTTTGTATTTGAATCTTGGGTTGTGATGGGCAGGTTTGAAACAGGTGGGTTGCACTTTGAAACCAAAAGGTGATGTCCAGATTTTGTCCTTCACGCTCGAGCGGAAGTTTTAACGCTCGAGCGGGATCTTCGTTGTTGCTTATCCGCTCGAGCGGGAGTTTTGACGCTCGAGCGTGATTTTCCATCGCTCAGTACTTTGCTCTGCAGTTCGTCCGCTCCAGCGGTAGTTCTGTTTCGCTCGAGCGTGATCCCTTGATTTTGTCCCTCCGCTCGAGCGGAGAGTTTGACGCTCGAGCGGATACCATCGCCTGCAAAACTTCTGGAAGTGTATAATCGACGCTTGAGCGTTTCTTTTCACGCTCGAGCGTGAGTCTGTGTCTGACGCTCGAGCGGGGTTTTCCACGCTCGAGCGGGGAATCGACTACATCAGTCCGTGATTTCACTTTTTGGATCACTTTTTGACCTATTTTTTTTCCCTAACTCTTTAAAAACCGCCACTTGAGAGTGTCTCTCTCTACTCTCACCTTCTCTCTAAGATTTGATCTATTCCTTGTGGTCTTCTACCCTAGTGCCTTTGGAAGAAAGGTAGAGCTTCGCGAGAGCTTTCTTTTAATCTGAAAAACAGAGGGTTTGGGGCAGTTTGGACTTTCGTCATCTTCTCCATTTGAGTTCTTCTCTTTAAGGTAGGGATTTCCTACTCTATCTTATAAGTTTTGTTCTAAGTTGTGGTATTTTGATATGTTGGGGATACTTTAGTAATTTTGGGAAAAACCCTAGTTGAATTAATTAATTAATTTGTATAATTAATTTAAGGAAATTGGGGAAATTGGTTAAATGCATGAAATTGAGGAATTCATTGATTAAATAGTGTAGTTGGATAATTAAAATCACTTGCCTATTGAATTGTTTTCTTTAAATATTGCATGTCAATGATATATATATATAATGGGTTTATTTTGAGGGCGTTACAGCCCTGGTTGTCATATGTTGGTGCAATGAATATAGCTAAAGATAGTATCGCTATTATAGGATTAGTTGCACAGATATCAACCATTTCATAGCCACTAGATGCATCATGAATTTTAATAGATCTCAGTTTAGAAGAATATTGCAGGACACATTGGATTACATGGGCATGTTGCTGGTTTTTTCTTTTTATTTACTTTATGTCAGGTATGGATTTATTTTGCATTATTTTGAAAATGATAATGTTTATGGACCAAATGTACGATATAACTGACTCTTTGTGCTTTGTGAGGTGATAGTATCTTATTCTTCAAATTTATGTTCTTTGCTCATACTTTTGTGCACTGTAACATGATGTTGCAGCATGATCATGTTCCAATCTGTCTTTTGTTTGTGCTGTAGGGATATTTTATCTGCTTAACTCTTGCTCTTGGGTGGGCTTGTGCTGCTTATGTCAGGTATCAAGCTTTAATTTCTAAAGTTAGGTGACAATGTGGCTTTAAGTTCCCGGATCAGTTTCTGCCCTTAACCTTGATAAAAAATTACTATGTGAAATTTTAGGTTTTGTAACATTTTGTGTCTTCTGACAGGAGTAGAGAGATTAGAAGGATGAAAGATAGTTTGAGAGGTGGCAATAGCTTTGCATTTATTTCTCATGATATTAATGCGCTTGAGCATTCTAATCAGGTCAATCTGCCAAGAGTGACTGTTGTAATGCCTTTGAAAGGCTTTGGAGAGCACAATCTACATAATTGGAGAAGTCAGGTACATTATCCGGATTCCGGAACACACATATTACCTAGTAGTTCCTTTTTCTCTCCCATTTTAAAGCTGAAAAAGGAAAACAGTGAAGAACTTGATTACTTTTCTTTGGTATTTGTTTTTCTTGGTTTGTTTCTTATCGTTAGTCCAGTTATAAGCAGATAAGTGTAGCCAAACATACTTTCATTGAAGAGTCGATAGTTGCAAGTATTTGGTCTTTATGCTAAGACGAAGTGAAGAAAATTGACACAAATTATTATTTGCTACAACTGGATCTTAGTTTCTATTTGAAGTTATGATTCATGTATTACTGCCTAATTAGATGCGTGTAAAAACACCTTGACAACAGAGGTATCAAGATTGCATTCCTTGTTTTCTCTGAAATACTAATTCTTTAAGAGTCTGGAAGGTATTTTAAAAATTTTGTTTAAAACTTGAAACTTTTGTAGTCTTTTTCCTTAATTGTGAATATTCTTAGGGTAAATTACACTTTTCCCCTTTTATGTTTGGCTACTCTTTTACTTGGCCCTTAAAGTTTATTTTTTTCACTTTTTCAAATTTTTCTCAGTTTACTCCTAAAGCTAATTTTTGTTAAAAATTAGACAGAAAATGACATATTGACAGTGATGTGACATAAAAATATTTTATTATATATAACTCACATCTCTGACATAAACTTAAATTAAACCCCAATATAATAATATATTTTTTATGTTACCTGATAGTTATTATGACATTTTTGTCTAATTTTGAACATAAGTTAGCTTTAGGAGTAAATTGGGAAAAATTTGAAACATTAAGGGCCAAAGTGGGAAAAAATAAGCTTTAAGGGCCAAAGTGAGAAAATGACCAAACATAAAGGAGGCATAGTGTAATTAACTCATATTCTTCTTATCTCATGAATATTCAAATGCAGATCACGTCTCTATATGGTGGTCCTTTGGAATTCATTTTCGTTGTGGAAAGTACAGAAGACCCTGCTTACCATGCCGTAAATCGATTATTAGCGGATTATAGGGTATGTATTGTGTTGTCAATGCTCTTTGTATTATGATGATTTGGCAACCAAAGTTTATGCCTTTGATTGTTTAAGGTACACAACTATGGTGAGTATTTTGTTGTATCATGATTGCTTGCCATTTATTATTTGTTTTTGTTAAGATATTGAGAACAGAAATATATCGTTTCGTTGTTTATCTTTTAATTGTGATAGAAATTTTCAGCAAGGAACAACGAGATGTTGTCTAATATCTAGTTTGTAATATTTTCTGTTTGTCTTTTCTATATCAGCACAATTTTTGTGTTGTGTAATTGTTGAAAGAGCTGGCATTTTTGGTATGGTTTGCTTATTATGAGTCAGCCCATGGTCTTCTACTGTGATGTACGTGTATCATATGCGCTAGCTACTTGTGTAATTACAGCATGCTTTATGCTTGATTATTTTTGTTGTCACTTCTCAATTTTTTGCAGGATGGGTATGGTTTCTTCTTCTTATGTTTTGTCATGACTTGTTCCCATTTGTGTGCAGGATGATGTTGATGCAAAGATAGTTGTAGCTGGTTTGTCAACAACTTGTAGTCAGAAAATTCACAATCAGTTGGTAAGTAACAAGTTCACTACTTTGTAGTCTTCATAAAGAACCGACTAATATTCAGCATCTTTCTCATATGCATTGTATGTTTGCTTATTTTTCTGCGTTTTGATAAAATGTGATTTTATCTTTTAGAATGTTCCTAAACTCCAGCTAATTTAAACTTTTAAATAAAGGTTGGATAGGACTTCATGTGTAAAAACTGGAGCCTATTTATAGTTGTATCTGTCTTTTACCTATATTTTCTTGTCAAGTCATTTTTTTCGGAAGCATGCATCTTATTATAGCTCATGAAGTATATTCTGGTGCAATTATGCAGATTGGCGTAGAGAGAATGCACAAAGACAGCAAGTATGTGTTATTTCTAGATGATGACGTTAGGCTGCATCCTGGGTCAATTGGAGCTCTCACTACTGAGATGGTAAAAAATCCTCAGGTATGGTTATGTTAACACACATGTTTTGTTTTATCTGTATATTAAGTTGGTAGCTTTGATTTAGATTTTTCCCACTCTCCTCACGTAGGAATATTGTTTTTGCTAATGATATGCAGATTTTTATTCAAACTGGATACCCTCTTGATTTGCCTTCTGGAAGTTTAGGAAGTTACTGCATATATGAATATCATATGGTATGACACCTACTAAACACTTTACTTTTCATTTATGTTTCATTGTCAATGCATGCATTCTGCATTTTATTTGTTTCCAACCTGCTGGCATATTACTTTGTTTGTCCCATATAACTTGTGTAAAAATAAGTCGTAGTGTGTATTTATCAAGTAGAGAGAAATGAATGTGGTTGCTATCTATTGTCCCCACACGACATTGTATCTATAAAGCAATTTGCCAAGACATACCAAGCATCACTTGAATTCTAAAAAGCACCAACACTCCAAGATGGGTGCAATGCCCATTGTCCGACACGGTGGGGACACCAACATGGCGTTGTGTGAATTTTTTTAATTATTATTTTTTTTAAGACACGTTGGGGAATACTTCTTGGACACTTGTGCCCTGCCCTGTGTTTGGACATGCTCAGGACACTTTTGAAGGTTTTTATTTTTAGAAAGTTGATTTGGAATCAAAGTAAAATAAATGGAAATAAAGAGGAATCAAGTAAAAAAAAACACTCGCATATACATCGATATCTCATATCTATGTATCTTAAATTTATATTCATACACATAGTATAATCTTGGCCTAATAATCTTAAGGTTATGGGTTCAAGTCTTGGGACAACCACTTTGTGCACTTTGCCAAAGGTTAGGTGTATACCCAATCTTTCTCCTCTCAAACACACATTAATGTATACTATTTGGGCGTTATTTATTTGTTTATTTTTTTTATACATAGTAAAATATATATATATATATACACAATATTTTTCTTTTTGCTATATCCCTACCATGTCCATGTGCCAATTTTTTGAGAATCTATGTCCTGTATCCATGTTTCTTAGCTTGAATTCTTAATTAATAGAAGTGAATCACATTTGTAATTACGAGAGGGTTAACATGATGAGTTCAAGTTTCTGATGTTAAATTTTTTTTTTTTTTGGGGGGGATAAATAACAACTTCAAGAAGATGCTAAAAAATACAAAAACAGGACCCCACAAAAAGAAACAAACAAACTAGCCAGTCACATCATTAAGGAAATCTAAAACGATAAACAAGTCAGGATCTATACGGCCTGATACCCAGCCATATAGAACTTGCAAAAGCCTATCTTCTAACCAAGACATTGAAGGAACAACCACTTGGAAAAGATGCTGATTCCGCTCCAACCACAACAATCACATTAAGCACAACGGAGCTAAAGCCCAAGCCTTACGACGTCCCTTCCCAACCTGAGCCCGACCCCAACTCTGAAGAACCTCTATAACCCTTTCCTGCTACACCCACATAACTCCAAAAGTAGAAAGAACAAGTCCCCATAAATGATGAGCTATACCGGACACTAAATCAGCAAACGATCCATTGATTCCACATCACCACAACACATACAACACCTATAAAATAAAATATGCCCGCGACAAACCAAATTGTCAATCGTAAGAATACAACCAAAGGCCACCGTCCACAAAAAAGAAATCACCTTTAAAGGAACACCTGTAACCCAAACCTGATGCCAAAGAAACTCCCCCACCCCACCTCCACCTCCACCTCCACCTCCACCTCCACACAAAGATTGATAGAATGAAGACACCAAAAAACGCCTTTGGAGCTCTTACACCCCCCCCAAACAAAAGCATCCTCCCCCCTCCCCTAAATATGCAATCCATGAAGAAAACACAATAACTTGATTACAAACTATAAATCCATTAGATTTGAATTGCAATAGTGGAGTTTAAATATCATTAGTTCTTTTGGTGTAATTTGTGACCACCTCTTTGTCAGTGCTTTTGTGTTCCAAGAGATCTGAAGCAGTTGAATTAGAAGCAATCAAAGTCCTCGAATAAATATATGATTGGGTATTATTGGAGTGATATTGTTTGACATCTAATATACACGGACACTTCTAAAAAGGTAATAGGTTGTGTTCAACACCAACACTCGTCAGACACTTCCCAACACTTAAGTCACACATGAAAGACATTTCAAGTTTGAATAAAATAACCTAGAATCCAATGATAAAAGAAAAGCAACGTAAATTGATACATATTCTCCTCCTTTAGACATTAAGAATTATTATCTTTCGACTTAAATATTCATATATATATATATATATATTGTAGTATAATTATTTGTCCTTATATATGGGATATAATAAAGCTGATCAAAAAATGAAGTATAATAAATATATAAAATTATATATTTCACACATGCCCCCCACTTATCGTGTCTTACATTTTTTGAAAATTTGCATGTCAGAGCTTGTCCGTGACGTGTCACGTCTTTGTCTATGCTTCTATTTTGACATCTATTAGTGGGTTTGCCTTACTGGTCGCTTTATGCCATTTTACAATTTCACTCGTTTACAAATCGATGATTTAACATGGACAACTGTTTTTTCACAGCCTTGTTCGATGGGGTTTGCTACTGGTGGGAGGACATTCTTTTTGTGGGGAGGGTGCATGATGGTAAATACCAACTACCTCCTTTTAACTGCAGCATGCTTATTATGGAAATGCATTTGTTCTAGATTTTTCTTTCCTTATGTGCACATATTTTGTCTCAGATGCATGCAGATGATTTTAGAATTGACCGTCATGGAGTGGTTTCAGAACTTCGGGATGGAGGATACTCTGACGACATGACTCTTGCAGCTATAGCTGGTATTGTATTTTGGTGCTATACTTTTTTAAACTTGTTTGATTAGACGTTTAGACTTAAAAGCCACATTTTGCTTGATAATTTTGCACCATCTAAGTTTCTTTTCCTTCCAATCTCTGGCCAAACAGGCTTACCAATGCATCCAATTATCAAAGTGTATTACATTCTATTTCTACCCATTTGAGAGACATTTATTTTTTAAAAAAAACTGTAAATCTTTTAAGTTTATTTACTTTTGATTGGAATTATTTGCACAAAGTAGCCTCTCAAACTTGAACCTGCATAGGGAGGCTGCACTGGGTAGTGGTCTCTCTCCGTTTTAACTTTTTGGTCTCCAACTTTTCTAATGAAATTTCCATTGAGTCCTATTAACACATCAACATAGTGTTAATAGGATTCAATGGAAATTTCATTGAAAAAATAAGACTTGTTTGATATTTTCCCTAAAAAATATCCTGTAAGTGGAAATTTCAAGTGACACGACAAATGAAACAATTACAAACTTATACTTCAAAGTTTGAATGATTTGAATGTTCAATACTTATATATGTGACACCAAGAACTTCTGATTAACTCTATAACGGCTTCTTTCCTCAGCTCTTGAAAATAATTTTCAAGATTGGATGACTGGTGGAAATTACTGCCCTTAGTGGTGAACCACTCTATATCTGCTGCATATTGGATGCTTTGACACTATATGAAATTATCATATTTTGGGTCTTCATACATACATGGTCGGCAGAAATCTACAAACGCATTTCTTCTGTTCCCGTCATTCAGAATTTGGTATTTTCTAGACGCTAGGCCACTAATTTTAATCACTGATGTACTTGCTTCTTTCCAGGGGCTCACAAGAGGCTCATTACATCACCACCGGTTGCTGTTTTCCCTCACCCCCTTGCAAGTGATCTTAGTTTCGGAAGGTTTGTAATGTACAGCCTGAGAATGTTTTTACTTGAAGACAGGCATCTCAAATAAAGTGCTTAATTTCATCTTGAATGTTCTATCTGTGCAGATACTGGAATTACTTGAGGAAGCAAACATTTGTTCTGGAATCATACACCACGAAGGTTAACTGGATAATGAACCGTGCATTATTTTCTTCCCACTGCTATCTATCATGGGGATTTGTATCACCATATATTATGGCTGTGATTCATGTTGCTGCAGTATTAAGAATTCATTCTAAAGGGTATTCACTTGGGGATGATACTGAATTTACTTCTCGTGGTAAGAACACTAACTTTCACTAAGACTGTAGATCATGAATTTGAGTAAGGATTTGAAAAAAGAAAACATGGATGAAATATAAGCTTTTTTTTCTTTTTCTTCTGCATTTCACTTTCCCTTTCCAAATCCCTACTCAAATCCATGATCCAAACACAAAATAAGTAGGTTTCAAGTTTAGAAATTAATATATTTGAATGGCAGGAATTCTGAGGGGAATAGGAATGTGATTCCAGATTCTCATGATTCCAATGTTTGGAATGGAATAAATATGTGATTTGGGATTAACTACTCCACCAGGAATCACATTTTCAAGGATTTGATCCCTCCCCTCCCCTATGTTAATCTCACATACCTGTAGGAATGTGGATTGTTTTATGAGTAAAAATGTTCGTTGGGCCTACAATTTTTAATGTTAAACTTTTTTGTTTTTTTTTTTAAAAAATCATTTTTAGAAAGAGGATTCTAAATTCTAACCAATCCAAACACATGAATAACATTGACACCGGAAATCTACTTCTAGCAATGTGATTCCTGATAATGTGATTCCTATTTCCTCTATTTGATTCCTACCGTCCAAACATAATTTAATGTCAAGCTGGAGAATTTTGTTAAAATGTTGGGAGTTCAACTTAATTCTTCTGCACAGTGAAAGTACTTGTTCTCTATTTTATCAACTATTTTCTTCAGGGTTGTTACTAGTAGGCGGCCTAGCCTTATGCACTTTTGTAGAACTTCTCTCTATGTGGAATTTAACAAGAATAGAAGTCCGACTATGCAACTTGTTATCTCCAGAGGCGCCTCCACTATCGCTTGCTTCATATAACTGGTGCCTTGTAAGTCTCTCTCTCTCTCTCTCTAAAAGCAGAAACAGTAAATGCAAAGTTTTCAGTTGTCATTCCTTTTTTCAACATCCAAGGAACTCTGTAAATGTCTCATTTTTTATCATACATTTGAGTAAACATTCTCTAATATTTCTAACTAGCACCCTGAATTTGTTCTTTTCTATGTTGTTCATAGCATTACAACATCAGTGAATTGACTCTTAAATGAAAATGAAAGAGTGAGAAAGTTTTGGATCAATTTCAAATGAAGTTTAATTTTGAATTCAAGAATTTGAAGTGCCAGCCAACCTTCAAATTTGATAGCATAATCAGTTGCTTACGCTCCGTTTGTTTCGATGGAAAACATTTTCTTATGTTTGGTTGCGTTCTTGAAATTAATGTAATAATGGTGGCAATAGTGGTGGTGGTAGTGCCGGCAGTAGGGTGGAGGTGAAATTGGAGGTGGCGGTGGCTGTTGTGGTGCGGTGGTAGTGGTTGGTGGTGGTAGCTATGAGGTAGAGATGGTAGTGGCGGTGGCTGTGGGGTGGTGTTTGTGGTGGCGGCGGCGGCGATGGTGGTGATGGTGGTTGTCTTTGTGGTGGTGGTGGAGGTGATGGTAGTGGTGGTAATGTGGTGGCACAGATAAAACTTTGGTTCTGAAAATATTTTTCACCTTTTAAAAGTGAAATATTTTTCCCCAAATAGACTTGTTTTCCATTGACCATAGATAATGTTTTCCGTTGTAACGTGTACAAAATGACAGAAAATGCAAAAATATTTTCCGCCCAATCAAATGTAGCGTTAAACAATGGGATTCTTCCACTTTTATTTTATTTTAGTTTTTTGGTCTTGAGCAAGAAAACTGAGTTTTTTTCCCCCAATGCAAGATGGTAATTAAAGAAAAACTCCTGAATATGAAGGTCGATGCCATTTAATTTGTTGCATTTGGGATGGAGAACTTGATTTGTTACCAATTTAATTATTTTGATGTTCAATGGAGCAGGTATTTATTGCAATGCTGGTGGATAATTTTTTATACCCTATCTCCGCAATGCGTTCACATTTTTCTCAGTCTATCAATTGGTCTGGCATTCGGTACCACTTGAAGGATGGGAAGATACACCAGGTATGCTTGTTAGGGCCTTTCACTATCCTCAAAACATGGCTTCCATTCAATGTTATTTCCATTTTGCGGACTATACCTATAATATTTGTTTGCGGCATCTACTTCAGAAAACAAAAACAAAATATGAAATATGCCATGATGACTTTATATTAGGCTGTAATGGTATTATTTTGAGCAGGGTGTCATGTCCCGCCAAGTTGCATACACAAAAGTCTCCTCCCAGAGGAGGACTAGAAGGATCGAGGCTAATGGAAGTTTCTAGAGCTTCCGAGAAAAATTGAGAGATTGTGAGATTCTAGTATACAAGTCTAGAGAATGTACATAGAAAGACCTATAATAGATTCTAGAGAATTCTTGTAAGCTTGTAGAAGGCTCTGTCAATCTTCGACAGCATAATTAATCATTGTTCTAGATAGGGTTGTTCACGGCTCAAGTTGGATTGGTTTTGGCCTCGACTTGTCATCCAACTCAGCCAGATCAGATTGGAAAAGTGGCCAACTGCTTCTGACCGGTGTATTGATCGAAACCGCACAAATCGGGGTTATTTGATTTGGTGGTTGGATCGGGTGAAAAACAGCTAAATACGATTGACCACCAAAAGGAGAAAAAAAAAAAAAAACAATGAGAGAGATCTGAAAAATCATCAACAAATTTGGAAAAAAAAATAAAACTTAAACAAATAAATCTCACTTCGGTCTCATGAACAACATATTTGAAAAATAAAAATTACAAATGCGAATGAGATAGAGGAAGGAGAGATGGGTGACCGGCTGGCCATGGCCCAACTCAGCCAGATCAGATTGGAAAAGTGGCCAACTGCTTCTGACCGGTGTATTGTTCGAAACCGCACAAATTGGGGTTATTTGATTTGGTGGTTGGATCGGGTGAAAAACAGCTAAATACGATTGACCACCAAAAGGAGAAAAAAAAAAAAAACAATGAGAGAGATCTGAAAAATCATCAACAAATTTGGAAAAAAAAATAAAACTTAAACAAATAAATCTCACTTCGGTCTCATGAACAACATATTTGAAAAATAAAAATTACAAATGCGAATGAGATAGAGGAAGGAGAGATGGGTGACCGGCTGGCCATGGCCATCACTATATTTGGGTCATCAATTACAGATCTGGGGAAAAAAAATGCAGAGATGGAGTGCCATAACCATATTCATCGAAGTGGAAATAACAAAGCCATAAAAATAGCAGAGCCATATCCGCCGGAGATGGCTTCATCTTTGTATTCACCAGAGATGGCCTTCATCTCCGTATTCACCGAAGAAAGAACAATTGGTTGTGAGTTATGGTTGAGAGAGAGAGATGAGAGAGATGAACCAGTGATATGACAGAATAAGACTAACAAGGTCTTGGGAAGATGACAAAATATTTATGAAGTAATCCAAAAGCCTTCCAAATAGTCAGACGTGGATGATATATATATGTATATATATTTTTATAATTTGGTCAGATTGGTTTGAACGATTTCTTTGCAACTCAACCTGTCACTCGACTGAGACTTAGAAAAAATGGGATGGTTTGAACCGCAACTGACCATACACGTTATTGATACTGCCCATGATAGGCTCAGGTTGGTTAGATTGGATTAGGTACGTTGGGTGGTCTGTTATTTGAACACCCCTAGTTCTAGATAGTTTCTAGAAGGCTAGGTTGCCTATATAAGGGGTGAAGGCTCATTTGCCTCACAACCAACTTGACATCCAACTCGTGAATGTTTTATACAAGAAATACAAGCATACTCTCAAACTCTCGTATGTGCTAATCTTCTCTCTTGTCCACTAAGGGTTAGGCCGACTTAGCATCACTAGCCAAGTTTGTGAGTCACCAAGTGCCACACGGAGCATTTAGAAACAACCAAGGACACAAGGGCCTCTTGATTTATTTATTTTTATTTTTTAAGTATAGATATGTAATCAATCCACTCATAATTTGAACACCTAGCCTGAAGATCTTGAATATCCAATTCGGCAGTTTCAATCTTTGCACACCCAATCCATATTGCACTCACAATATTTCTATGAATGGACAGAATTTTTTAAAACTACACTATACCAACCAAACTTGTAATATCTTGCCCATCCATGTATTTTGTGTTTGGTTCTATCTTTGGGTGGGTGTTGATTTCCGACCACACAACCAAACAGGAAACTTAGCTGGAGAGTATGCGGCAAAATAAATTAAGTCAACCATCTGCCAACAAGAATATGAGAATACCGTGGTGGTTCGTCCACCCGGGGCACTCTGACGATCAAGTTAGTCAACTTATCTCTCAAAGATATCAAACAAGTACACAATTCACAATCAAAAACATCACAAATAAAAGCATACCTTAAACCCACGGGATGCCTCACTCTTATAATGATCGATGTCTAACTTTCCCTAGAAGTCTTACTTTATAGGACTTTATTCTTTACAAGGATAACATGTATCACAACTCACAATATTCAGATTAAGATGAACTTCCTCAAGAGTTTCATCTCTATCCAAATAGGTAGTTTGATGTCATTTAGGATTCTTGTCCTCTATCCGAATATCTCGGATTCCAGCATTATCGCACCGAACCTCGCCAACGCCGCAATCATCTCGGTAAACATGACCCACCCACATGGCACCTCGCCCGACATCTTGAAGGCATCTTGGCCACATGGCGTCATTCTCAAAATGCTTCCCCACACTTTGGTTTCTATGTTCTTGGAATTTCTCAAATAAAATAAAGGTGTACCAAAAGGATAGCTGTCTTTGTGAATACAACTTATGTTGAATCAGACATAAAATTTGTAAAAAATTGATTGCGCAAGTCAATGAGATATCAATTGATGAGTGATTGTTCTTTACTTACATTGAAAATGATTAATTTAATTGCATTTTATTTGTGATTTGAGAAGTTTAAAATAACAAGATTTATTGAAAGTAGATAATAGCTATTCAAAAGTGTGATTTCAAGATTTCAAGAGATGGTATTCTCTGGAGTGAACAAGATTTAAAGAGGTGTAAGCGAGGCATGTTTTTATAGTTGTATGGTGAATTACATTTTATTGCAGATTGACAGAAGCAAGGGTAAAGGTCCAAAATTCACAGATTTGGGTGGAAAGCATTTATATGGGAAGAAAGGTGGTCCACCTAAAGCCTCCATGATTGGTGTTTTGTCAAGAAGTTTGGCTCAATGGCGCCAGCCCAAGAAATTTGATGTCTAGGAATGGAGTTTAACAAACATTAGTTTATGATTGTTGTGCTCCTCGAGAGGGCTGACAAATAGCAGAAGCGTCGGTAGCAACAATTCTCGGCGATTATTTATCCCTAAAATAGTTTTTGCTAATTCATCCTTTATTGCTCTAGTGTTATGATTCATTTCATTTTTCAATTCTCATTCAATCAATTGATTCTTGAGCTCCAACGCTCCCTTCTAGTTGATTAGTGTAATTTTATTTTTATTTTTTTAATTTTTTTTAGAAGTTGTAGTGTAAAATAGAGAAGTTGTGCAATCATTTCTTTTTTTTTGAGAATCAGTGCAAGCATATTTATTCCTTCATGTGTTGTCTGAATATCCACATTGTTTTTTTTTTTTTTCCAATTAATTGGAATTTTTCTTCTCTCTTTTTGAGAGGAGTGGCATGTTTAATTTTACCCTCAAAGAGAGGTGGATCCTCCACACTCATGGTTTATTTGTAATGTTTTTGTTTTTATTATTTATTTAATTTTTAATTTTTGGAAACTAGTAACAAAAATATGTTATGGTATATTGTTTTCATTTTCATAAAAGTAAAATTGATTCTAAATTTTTTTAAAACTTGTGGAATTAGAAAATATATTTTATTGTTTTCAAAAAAAAGTTTTCACTCTCTATCTCCTCTCATCATCTCTGGCCACAACTATCATCTACGACCTTTGACTGCAGGCCAATCTCCTGCCACCATTCTACAACTTTCGGTGACCCTTCGACTCCTAGTGATCTTTGATCACCACCACATCCAGTGCCTCTCACCACCGACCACCATCTTAGTAACTCATTAACATGTTTCTTTATTTTTGTTTGGATAAATTGTAGTAAATCTGCTTAAACTAATTTTATTACAGTTTAACTCTTTTTGTTAGGATTTTATTAAAAATTTATAGAAAATTAGATCATGTAGAAAATACACTACTCATTTATTGAATTTTCAAGACAATAATATTTATTATTGATTGTTTTAGGATAATAATATTCTTATTTGGTAATTTCATTTGCACTTTCTCTCTTTTATTTTGGTGTTAATTTGTACTTTATCTCTCTTATCTTAGTGGTAAAGTGCGAATAGGATTATCAGATAAGAGTATTATTGTTCTAAAAATTTAACAAATGTGTCGTGTGTTTTATAGATGATTTAATTTTTTATAAATTTTTAACAGAATCCTAAGAAAAATAGTTTATTATAATAAGATAATATTTTGTAGGGTTTAGCAGTTGAGTTTTGAAATTTAGGAGAGCAAAATATAAATGGTTCATAATTTAAAGATTTATCATAAATTACCCTTTTCGTTTTCATTTATTCTCGTTGGTTAACCTTTGGTAACTCACAACGCTTCATCGTTTTCATTTTCAAAATGTGTACGCTAAAACAAGGTTTCTGAATAAATAAAAAGTTTAAAAAAAAAGAGCAAAAGCGGTGTTTCTTGTTATATAAGCCACAAAAAAAAATTGCTAGATATTTATGTAGACTAAAATTCATGTTAGTTGTTCAATAATTACTATGGTTATTCGAGCAGCAAATACCATCAAACAAACTATAACTAATTTAATGAGCCATTTGTAATTAGATAATTGTATTGAAATCCACGTCTTGTCCAAACTAAACTAAACTTCAAGGTCGGAAGCAGAGGTGAGATCTAACAGCTGTAAAAAGTGGTTGACTAAGGATATGCCTCCACACAGGCTCAGTGTCAGAAGAAAGCAAGAGACATAGACATGGCCTTTTAAGATTAACCTTGAGAACAATCAATGTTTCTATCATAAATTAGGGGTTTGGTCGGTATTTATGGAGAAGTAGACATTGAAACTGAACCCATCAGACCGAACTGTGAGCACTGGTTTGGTATGATCAGTATTTATGGAGACTTGCACACTGAAACCAAACATATTGGTTTGTAAATTCCTTCATAGAAAGCAGACTGTTACACAAAAGCTGCACCAAACCGTGAGCATTGGTTTGGTTCAATTCGGTTTGATGCAGTAGTTTGATGTGATTAATTTGGTTTAAAACAAGAGGATAAGGACCTGGCAAATGCATCACATGGAGCATAAACAAATGGAGTAGTAATTTTTTCCCCCGAAAGGAATGAAACGGTGGATAAAAATGATTCAGTTGGTTTCAGTAACCGCAAAGAGTTTTTTTTTATGATTTATTTATTTATTTTTTACCTATTTGAAAACCATACTAATCATTGGCCTCTTCAACTGACCACAGCCAACCGTTGTTGACCAGTTCGATCAGTTTAAATGGTTTGGGCGGTTTTCCTTACACCCTTAATCATAATAGATGCGAGAAATGTAATGTAATCTAACACAAGACCAGTGCGACATGTGAATGCTCCAAGCTCAATCCAGACCCATCCGAAAACAGATAATGAGTTGGGCAATAGTAGGTTTATGATCAACCTGCACTATGGCCATCTGCAAAGCATTTGTTCTCTACACATTTATATATCTAGCAACTCTGTCTTAGCTTGAACAGTGTTTCACTGTTGTTTGCACTTTACAAAAGACTACTCAACTAACTTATGTTACTTTGATTAAAATGGGGTCAATAGAATAATTGTTTCAATAAACTATTACATAAGCAAAAAATTGAAGAACTGCCTTTAAGGTAAAAAAAAAAAAATGGCAGACAACATCCAAGAATAATAAATAAATTGTCACAAAACTGTTCTAATGTTAAGATACAAACCAATTGTAATAATCAATTCTTCTCCAAATCTCCAATGTAAAAATCATCGATCATATCAAATACCCTGGTAGCATGCTGAGGACTGTACATGTATATGAATATGATAGATTGTAAGCATAACATGACTACAAAACAAAAGCACAGGTGCACAACTTTGAAATAAAAATTCTGAAAGCAGCCAGGATCAAAAGTTTTTATTTTTATTTTTTGGATATATATGATTGATCTAATAGGATAACTCGGAATTATAACGCTTGCAATGAAGCAAGAGAAAGAATTTTTTTTTATATTAATTTTCTGACAGAAATAGGTAAGTAATTCGTATAACTGTAAAATGAGGAGTGAAGAGGAAAACCTTTTTAAAAACAGATGCTTACCCATAAAACCCTTCGGTTGAATCATCTCCGGCATGTGCTAGGATGGCATCACCACCAGGGTGTTCCTCCACGTATGAGGAAACATCATACACCTACTTAATTTGAACATGGATGGAACACAAAAGTAAAAGGAAAATAAGAAAGATGAGAAAACAATTATACAGCTCCAACCACATTATCTATATGATGCATCAAAATCCAATAAATGTGACAAGACCTTATCTTTGATGATGATCCAACAATCTGTCCCCTTGTTATGCAAGGACACTTCAGCTTTGGTGTACATTTTGGATGCCTACAAGCCAAAAATAAAAAATAAAAGACATGAGAAGCACAATACTGAAATCTGGATGAATTTCCCCAGAAACAACAAAACAAAAACGGTCATAATCATTGCACATATACATTCCATCATGATACAAAAAAGATGCAAATTATGGCTTTTAGGGCATTTGGACAAATTCTCATTCTCAAAACATATGACCCATAGATGAAGTTTAGAGTATGTAGTCACTTCTGAATTTAAAACTAGCAATTTAAGAATTGTGATTTCCAAGTTTTGTGGGTCAATGGAAAGGCTTGGGGTAGGTATCTTTACCACACAGACCTAGTAATGCATGAAGACTAGTCTACCCCAACTTTACAGACAACAGTCACAATGACACTAGATTATTTCCCATAAAAGGTGATTAATGCAGCATTTAGATTTTGGATTCATTGAGACTTGTAGAGGAAAAGAAAAAGGAAAGGAAAAGTGAAATTTCTCATCCCTTTTGTTTTCCATCCACGAATCTAAAATCCAAATACAACCTAAGACTGTGATGAGAAGAATCAAATAGAAGGAATATGAATCTCATTAACACAAATCACACTATTAGAAATAGAATTCCAATGTCAATGCTATTCATTGTTTGGTTTGGCTAGGAATTCTTTATCCAAATACGATAAGACTTTAAAATTGTGAGCCCAACTAACATTTTACTCTCAAATAACATTCCTCTTGGAATATAAGATTACCATAAGGGAGGTGGGTATGGAAAAAGGCCTAACCACATAGGTGTGACCTCTGCGCTAGATCCTAAGGGAGTCAAGACCTCTAAGGTCACCCTTAGGTGGTGCTACATAGCATGCCACTCAGCCATGTAGCGGTAAGTTGTGGACTCACACATAGGCGAAGATTTGAACCCATACTCTTGACACTGGGTGCACTCAGACCTGTAAGGCTCGTCCTACCAACCTTGTGTGTTGTCCTACCAACCTACATAGTGTGGGAATGTGGTTTCTGGTGGAGTAGGTAATCAGGAATCACATTATTATTCTATTATATTCCAAACATTGGAATCATGAGGATCTGGAATTACATTCCCATTCCACCTCAAAATTCTTGCCATCCAAACATAGCCTAAATGTCTTGTAAAGCATACACACTTCAATATATATGCATCATTGATTTTCCCACCTTCCATTGGAATACAATTTCATAAACCAACAATCACATTAGCTTGAAAGAAGTTCAGTATCAAATCTTTCAATTGCAACCAATAAATTTAACTCTAATGCTTACATATTGATCAAGCTTTAGCAGTACTATCTCAATTTTTTTTTTTTTTTTTGGGTGTGGTATATATTTTATGTATTTCAGAGTCTCTGGTTTATTTATGTAGATATATAATTAAAATACAAATCAGAAAAAATAATTGCATAAAAGAAGTACCTTGTTGAATGCATTTGATAAATCTTTTTTGCTGTGATCTGAACTTGAGAGAATTCAACAAGTAAGATGAGACATTGAATAGAGAGAGAGAGAGAGAGAGAGAGAGAGAGAGAGAGATTCACATAAGATTTAACATCATCTACTTAGATTCACAAGAATATAAGTTAGAATTACCAGATTTAAGATGTCTAGGGATCAAAAATAGAGCCCCTAATAAGATGCCCAACACCAGTGTCACCACCACCATCACCATTGCTCTCAACTTGAGCTCACTCACTCTACTACTGCTTAAATAACTTAGAGAGGATGATGACCTGGAATGGCTGAAAAAATTGATTTTGGAAAATTGGGTTTAGGAACAGATTCGCCGGAGAAGACAAGGTGAGATTTCGGAACCCTACAGGTAGAGGGAGAGGACTGTGGTCCGTGGGCGCCAACTATCGTACGCAAATGGTGGTATTCTTGTCCCATACATAAATTAGTATCAGCCATTGGATCTTTCTTTTTGGATCTCATATTCAGTGCATTTAAAAAAACAAATTAAATTAATAATTGAATTCATAAAATATTTCATTAATTTGTAACTATTTTATAAAAAGTCCACTAATGTGTAATTTTCTCGAGAAAAAGAAAAATGCTTGGGAGCACTAATTAGTGCTCCCACTAATTAGGTGGTAATGGGTCCCGCCATTAATGATGTGATGTTTTGGTCTTGGAGTTGTATTTTTTTTTTTTTTTTACTTTTTTAATGCATTAGTGCTATTAGTGGTGATGTTTTTAGTGGGATGAATCATTATTGCGAGAAAAATTTGTTGTGGACCCATAGAATGGCTAACGTGGCAAATTTTGAATGGTTGTCGTAAAACATCTGATTTACGGGTCAAATGTATATAATGCGGTCTCATCTTGAATATGATGATATTTTATGTCTGTATAACAAGTAGATAAATTAGTGGATTCAAAATTATTACAACAATGATAGAGACCACTAATTTTGAAGCTCTAAAAAGACCACTAATGATATGACACTCAATAAAAAAAGAAAAAAAATACAACACCAAGGCCAAAACATCAAATCATTTATGGTGGGACCTACTGCCACATCATTAGTGGTAACACTAATTAGTGCTCCCACTCATTTTCCAAATTATTATTCAGTGTATTTATTGAAAAACTTAATTAAAATTATGCAAAAAAAATATAAAATAAAATAAAATACAATTATCAATATTTATAATTCACGTTCAATAAATCATTAATTTGAATTTTTTCAACAACAAAAAAAGAATAAAATTAATATATTTTTACTATTATTCAATATATATATATATATATCATAAATATATGCAATGACAAAAAAAGAATAAAATTAATATATTGTTAATATTATCCAATATATATATATATATATATAATAAATATATGGAGTCTACTATTATTGAAATATACATAATAAATATATGAAATTCTAAAATTTGGCTCCACGAATTATATGACTTAAATATAGTTTCGTGTCAAGTTCATAATAGTGGTAATGTGTCATTTGGCAATTGGGTTGGGTTGATGTTTTTGCTTAAATTAATCACAAAAAGATAAAATAAGTTAAAAAATTAATAAAATAAAATGTCACATTAAAATTATAATTATTTCATTTTTTCTTTCACAAAATTAAAAAAGTCAAAAAAACCAACTGAAATGAACTTTTTAGCCTTTTTTTTTTTTTTTTTTGATAACTCAGGTATCCCCAACCCGCTGATTTTAAGGGAAGCCAGGACTAATCCTGAGGGCCCTGAAGTTAACGACCGGGCAAACCTCCAGTGGCCCCAAGGGGTGACTCGAACTCGAGACCTGTGGATTTTATCCTCCAGACTTTACCAGCCTTGACTAAGTTAGTTTAAAATAAGTGATAGGTTAATTCAAAATGAATAGTGTAACGCCCCAAATTTCTACCTCAAATGATAATACAACAATTATGGCTCTTTCAAGGAAAATCGAATATAAATTTTCAAACTTACATTACATGATACAATAGTTCTTCATGCAATAATACATTAATCTAACAACAAGTAAATAAACAAATAAATATCCTCAAGGGTTTACAAATTTCAAGACTTGAGCCTGGTTACACAAAACGGTTATTCAAACCCACACACATACAACCATTGGTTTACACACAGAGTCGCAGCAAAATGAGAGTCTCATACTCTCAACACACATTTCCTCATCTTTAGTTAGGCGGCATTACCACATCTTTTCCTACACAAAAATCTCGTAGGGTGAACATAAAGCCAATAGGAAATCCTTAATAAAGTATATACATTTTATACAAGTCTCAAGAGATGAAATGCACATGCCATGCTATGCCTTTTTCAAAGAAAATCACATCTTCATCTTTGAAAACCATCATGCTCAATGATGTTATGCAATTTCAATTCTTCAAAACTTAACAATTCATTTCAAGAGCGGTAAATACGACTCTAGTAATCCTTAGGTTGGTGTCTGCAAGTAGATTATACAAGTACTACCAAATTGTCATTTTTACCAGTATTAACCGGAAGGCTCGACACCTATCCGCACGGGTTTTCGGTCTTTCACCCCGGACTCTCAAGCCAATTTATTCAATATCATCTACACCACCTATCAAGATTTACCAACGTATTTACCCCAAAACCATTCCATGAAAACTTGTTTCTCAACATTCTTTTCTCGATGTAAGTTTTCAAATCAACTTTCAAAGTTTAATGTAATCAAATGAATTGATATGTCAATTTCACAAGATGAATATAAATACTTTTATTCTCATTCATCATCTAAGGAATAACACAATTCCCTCTTCTCAAGTATCCTCAACAATTAGTCATTTCAAGACTATTTCATCATTTTGAACAATAATTTCCAAAATAAACAACAATTCTCATATTCCCTTAAATTCATCATTTATATAAATATAAATAAGAAATTTTTCAAACATCCATTTATTTTGACATACAAAATAAATATAACAATATCATTTATAGATTTTCAATCTCTTAAAAAAAAACTCCAAATTCTAAGTTTTCTCACCAAAACTATACAACTCAAATCTTTTGAAAGAAAACTTTTCAAAATATTATTTTCTTCAATCAAGGAAGAACAAAACCCATAAGGCCATTTTAAAAGAATAAGAGACAAACCCACTTTTAAAATTGCTCAACTTCTTGAATCAACAATCAATTTTCAAAGCTATCGAAAGATGATTTCGAAAATCATATAGATCTTGCAAATATATATATATATATATAACTCTAAGAAAATCTCTACCTCAAGTTTGAAGAAGAATAGAGATGAAACCCCAAAATCAACGATGCTTAAACTCGATCTTCACCGCACACAACGAAGTCCTCAAGATGATAACCCACTTTGATGAAGAAACAATGGCAAAACTCAAATGGATCTTGAGAAATCAAGGTTTTTGATCTAGTTTGTGTAGAGAAATGTAGAAAGAAGGGAGAGGAAAGGGTTTTTAGAGAGAGAGATATATACAAAAGTGATTTGAAATATCAGATTCACGAACTGATATAACATGGTCCGCTTAAGTGTGGAAAGCCTCGTTCGAGCGTCGAATACAGTTTCCCAGTACTTTTGCAGAGAGGTCAAACTTCTGGAACCAAACATTCTCCGCTTAAGCACATAAACGGCCGCTCGAGCGGACAAGCAACTTCGAATGCATTTTGCATTTTTTCTTTTCAGCTAGCTAACCGGGCAGCTTGACCCCCGTAAGCTGACCGGGTCAAAATCAGGATCGCTACAAATAGTAAATCATTTCAAGTCAATTCAAAATGAGTAGTGAGTTGTTTCATAATAAATGGTAAGTAAATTCATAGGGTGGTAAATAATGTTATACATGATAAATTATTTTACTAGCAAATATAATTGAGACAATTACTATTTAGTGTAAATTTTTAAAAATAATTTTAGACCAGTGCTAAATTTATGTACATTTACATTAATAATTAAACTGTTAATTTGTAAAACCACTATTGAGTTGTAATTTTCCCAATATAATTCCACGTCACTCCATTAACAAACTTTTTTTTCTGTAAATTTTATAGAAAAGTACGAGACTTAATATATTGTACATCCGATTTCAATGAGTTCAACATATTGAATAGTTCAAATTATTGAAATGGCACCTGTGGTGGGCCCCACGGACCCAACAGTACCGTCCAATCCAATATTTTGAAAACCGGACCGGTGAGCGAACCGAAAAAATAATCGGGTGAATGGATCACTGGTTCAACCACTGGTGAATCAAAATTGAACCGTGATGTCATAACTATATTAAAATTTATCAGTATAAAAAATGTAGATATTAAAATTACAAACATTAATAAATAATAAACATTTACAAAAAAAAATTTCTTAAATTTTATTTTACATTTTTTATACATTGATTTTTTGTAAAAATAATTAAGACATTATTGAATATATACTATATATACTTATTACATTGTTGACAATTGTGTTGATGGCTTAATGGTTTGAGTACTTGCTTTTTATGCACTTGGTTCCATGTTCAAGTCCTCTCCCCAAACATATTTTTGGAAGAAACTTTAATTCTTCAAACCTGACCGGTTTTTATGTTGACTCGTGCCTGGTGAACCAACGATTCTTCTGGTTTTCAAATTCTAAGCAAGTTTTGAGCATAGTCTGGTTTTGGAGGGTCATCCCAACTGTTTCGGTTTGGGTTTGAAAACATTGGTCCAATCCACTTTGTAGACTAGAGACAAGCTTGCTCATATTTTATTAGATTTCGCTTATTATTCAATTATTTACTACTCAATCAAACTCTACCTACTACGCTCCATCTAAAAAAAAAAAAACTCTACCTACTACTCAGTCAAACATGACTCATGACTTACCACTTAATAAGACACCACTTAATTGAACTTGACTTATTACCTAATTAAATATCACTTACTACTTAGTAAGATTGTACTCACTATTTTATTAGATTTTACTTACTACTCAATTAAACTCTATTTACTACTTAATGAGAATTGACTTACTGCTCAATTAAATCCCACTTACTACTCAATGAGACTTAGTTTACTACTCAATGATACTTCACCTACTATTCTATCAAACTTGACTTATTACTTAATCAAATATGACTTACTACTCAATAAAACCCTACTTATTGTTACTACTTAATAAGACCCCACTTACTATTAAATGGTAACTAAAATTAGATTGAACGATAAGTAGAGTCACAATGAGTGGTAAATAGTAAAATAAAAATATGAAATAGAAATTAGTTTTACTCGACATAAATAACCCTTACTCGGATTTTAGTGTATAGTTATGAACTTGGTGATCTTTGATTACTCATTGTGTTATTGATTATGAGTATAATTATATCAAACTTATAAGATTAATTGTATTTAGTAGTAAACTAACTCGCTACAAATGATAATTATAGTCATATTAGTAAATTTCA